AATCTTATTATAAATTTTTGAGCTTTTTTTGTTCTTCTAGTAATGTATCTGTAATGTTTAAAAAATGTTACATATAAGTTTGAAATAAAAATAGTAATTAAACAATATACATTATTATTACATCTTTTAGTTCAATGTCATTTAAAAAGTATGGAAATAGGACTCGTTTAAAAATTAAATTCTTTTATTAATACATTTTATTATCTGATATTTAAAGATATTTATCATTAATTATTAAGCCGTTATTAATTGATAATATCAAGATCTTGTTAAATTAATTTATGATAATAAATTAGATTTTCAAAAAATAATCAGATTTTGTTAATCTTACATGGATATGTAATTTACAATTTCATATTATAATATGTATTGTAACTACTGTACATACATTTACTATCGCAATTTATTTGCTAAATGAAGGTAAAAATCAATTATTTTCATTATCATCATCATTAACATATTTATTAAAACAAAATTGTACGAAGACTCCGTGGCGCAACGGTAGCGCGTCTGACTCCAGATCAGAAGGTTGCGTGTTCAAATCACGTCGGGGTCAATTAATACTTTGTTTTTGCTTCTCTATGAAAGTTTATTTTTTTAAGTGAAAATTATGTGTATATGAATAAAAATAGTTGTAAATATAGTAGTTATTAATAGATAAACTGATATTCTTAAAATTCTAAGTATGTACTTAAAAAACATATAATCATAGTATGCATAACCTTATTTAACACGTTCAAATTCGATATATGATGTAACAGTATTTTGAAAGAAAATTGAATCATTTATATAAAAACGTGACTAGAATAATATTATTTGTACTATTTAAGTTAGCAAAACCTATCTATAAGGTTGTATACTTATTTTAACTTGTGTGAAAAAGAAGAGTGGACCTAAACAATCTTTTATATTTTCAGTTTTCTACATTGTGTAGGTTTCATAAACACAATGGGTAAAGAAACTGATTCTGAAAATTCAAAAAAAAGAAGAAAATCAGTTAGTGGAAATTCTGGAATATCTTTTAAAGATGGAGATACATACAAGGTATGAACAATTATCGCTATTTTTTCCTTATTTTAAATAAAATATATTATTATCTTTAGGCCATAATCAGTTATGAAGAGAAAGAAGCCACAGAAAGGTTATCAGAAAATGATTCTGAAAACTTTTTATCAACATGTGACAATATACGTAAAGCTATGAATAAAATAGCAAAACTAAAAATAAGTGGAGACATAAATGTTTGTATTTTAGTTTGCAAAATCTAACTTGTATAGTCATTTAATGTATATTGTAATTTACAATTTCATATTTTAGGCTAAAGATGAGATACGTGAACTTCAAATTCAAACATCTCTAGCATTTATTGAACTTAAGAAATTAAATAGAATGGAAAAATTTCGTACAAAATTTGCAAGAGATTCTTTAATGTCTTCAAAAAGTAGTGTTGACAGTAGACATTTGCATTTACAGAATTTATTATATGAAGTGATGCATTTAAAGAAAGAAGTTATTAAATGTCTTCAATTTAAGTACGTACTATTTTATTACGATTTTTTAAATAAAATTTATTGTACATATAAAATGAAACTAATATAATTTTGCTTAGATCTAAAGATGAATTGATACAACTTGTATCAGAAGAAGAATTTTACAAAGAAGCACCTGAAAGTATTTCTAGACCTGTATGATAAAAATTAAATTTATTTTAACTAATATTGTTGCTTCTGTCTTTGTATTTTATAACTTAATATTTTTAGGACATAACAAAACATAATCCACACCAACTGAGGTTAGCTTGTTTGGAATGGGAATTAACACAAAGGAAACAATTAGCTGCTTTGTGCGATGAATTGACAGAAAGTAAAAAGGCTGTAGCATTGAGTATAGAATCTAAGCAATCTCGACTTGATAATCTAGCACCTCAACTTAATTCAATATTAGAAGTAATATCCATATTTTCAATATAATATTTATGTAAACAAATTATAGCAATGAATAATGATTTTACATTTTAGGCAAGTAAACCACTTCAAGAAAGTCTTGGTTTACCACTAGACAAAATTAAACAAGAACATCACAAAGCAACATTACTTGCATCACCATTATATGTTCTTTATGCAAAAGCATCTGCATATAGAGATGCATATGGTATGTCATATTTTATAGAAATATAATTAAACAGTACATTTTATTTTAATATATACTTTCTTATAGATAGTAGTATAATTGTAAAAATAGAAGGTGATGAAGAAGAAGCAAAACGTGCAAATAATCAAGAGGGATTACAAGAATCTGATTCGGATCCTGAAACTTTATCTGAAAGCATTACAGAAGAAACTCATATACATAAAAAGAGACATCATAGATTATCTAGGGAAGCCAGACAAGAAGAAAAAAGATTAAGTCTGCTCCAGAGACACCCCTTAAATGTGAAAATAATTATTAAATTAAAAAGTTAGTTTAGTAAAGTTAATATTTATAAAATGTAAATGAAGTACTTTAAAACATTTATTTTTTCAGATGAAACAAAGTTGACATTACAATTTTTTTATATAATGTTTCTAAAAGTAGTTACTGTAGAATCAAAATTAAAAACTGAGGGAGTTGGAAACAATAGCACTGGGTACAAAATTACTTTATATGTTAATAAATGTAAATATATATTGATTTTCTAAATTTTTATATATTTATTTTGTAGAGATATGCTTGTATCAGAATCAATTTTACGGGAATTATATCCGAGAGATCTGGGATTGGAGAGTCCAAATCCTGCTAATTATTATCAATTAAGTCGATATAATTTGGGTCAATTTTCATCACTTGGATTAGGAATTCCATATAAATGGGCTCAAAGAATGGCTGGTTTAAATTTTATTTCACCAGACACTCGAGAACAAAAGGTATACAAATTTTTATAATAAATTTTTGTCATACTATTTATTGTTGTTGTATTTCAAATCATAATATTGTTTAAACATTATTAGATTACAAGTTATGAAACTGCTCAAGATAGCGTTGAAAGTGTGCTAAGAGAAATTAAAAGGCGCTTGAAAGCTAGGTTGGAATTATGTACCGAAATTCGACAGTTGGAGTCTGGAAATCTATCTGTTTTTACTAATACAAACGATGTTTTACCACAAAAATGTAATACAACTCTACAAAAGTTTACAACAATGTCTTGGAACGCGTATTCAATGTCTACTAACCCTGCTCTTCAAGAACAAGGATTAGTTTCTCCATTAGATATATTCTATGAAGCTGTACTTCGCCGTGGGAATAGTGAGATATCATATAATTATTTCATATAAAAATAGTTGTTTTGTGTTAATATATGATATTCATTTTAGATGAGTTAATTGCAAAAATCGCTATAAAACCTGATTATCCAAAGATAGCGCCAGTATTTGATATAAGTATAAACCCTATGGTATCAGTTTCTATCGATGTTTTACGAGATATTGAAAGGGAAATAAACGTCATGTGGATAAAACCGCCAACCTTGTCTGCACAATTACAGCGACTAAGAGCGTGTTTCGACATTTATCTGGAAACAGAAAATATAGTACCCAAAGAAAAAATTTTCTTCCATCCTATAAAGGGTCGCACTCGTGCTAGACCTTACAAATACTTAGAATTAGGGGGTGGAATTTTTATTCATCGTTAATTTACTATAATACAAAGTAAGATACAAATGTATATTGTGTGAAATATACTATTTTTTAATGCGAACATAATTTATTTATTATTTGCAGTTATTAAAAGTAATTGTAATGTACACGTTCCTTAAATAGAAGTTGAAGTGATTGAAGATATTGTGGGACCTCCAGAAAATATTATAACGTGAGCCTGCAACTTGTACCTCAGTTTTTTGTTTTCTAAATTAAGCTTTTTGCATTTATTTTTTAATAAAATGTTACTTGATACGATGTGATTATGCTTTTTCCAAAACATATCAATTTTATCATGTGAACTAGGAAGCTATAACAGTTTTTCTATTTTAGAATATGGTAAAAAAAATTTGTGTATTATCTTATATGTATGTATATATAATTGAATTACATAAATGATTTACCTCATCTTCTATAAAGTAGTTTCTTAAATTATAGATAAATGGTTCCATATTAGAGCATATTGTAATTATTTCAAGAAGTATAGCACTTTTTTCCACACTTTTCTGCAAATTCTAAACATTAAATAATAGAATTTTATAATATAAATCATATTATACATGATTAAAATAAAAGTGTGTTCTTTTACCTTTAATACGTCATTGCTAGAAACAATTAACTTTTTTAATTGTACAAAATCTACTGCTTGAGTTATAGTAAAATATTGTTTCATATTTCTGATTTCCTTTTTTATATATGCATTTTTTCTTTTAAGATTCTCAATACGTTCATCTCTTTTTAATGATAGTGTTTGTATATTGCATTTTAAACCTTCAACAGTATTTTGTAATTGTAAATGCATTCTTGGGTAATGTAGTATGCACAATTGATATGTATTATCTTGTTCTTTCAAATATTCATATTGTTCTTTTTTATGTTCAGTAACTCTTTCGTATTCAAATAGTGTTTGATTCAATTGTTCCCAAAAACTTTCTATGTTCTTAGAAGATTGATGTATGAGATTTGACATTGTATTTTCTTCCTAATATATAACAAATTATTTAATACTAGTTGAGAAAACCTGATTGCATTATGTATTCACAATATTACCAAAATTAAAATATTACGAATGTTAATAGCATTTCTTGTTTTTGCTATAAATTTTTCTTCCTCCAAAATTTTATTTTTCTTTCTTACAATAAGTTGCATTTCTTTATAGCTTCCTTCTATTTGATTGTTCAAAGGACATAATTCGATCACATTCGATTTATTATTATTCAATTTGTATAAGTCATGTAAGTTCTGTAATTTTTGTTTATGCTTTCCTAGACAAAATAAAAAAAGTTGGTTATACTTACATGTTTCATTTAAGAACAAATTTTAAAATGTGACTTCACAAAAATACATGATGTTTGTACATATTAAAATACATTTAAAAAATACCTATAATATTGTTCATTAATTCAATATGAGCTTCTTGTAGTTTTCTATGATCTTGATCTGTTATCTCTAATTCACGTTGCAGTTGATGAATTGTGCTGTCTTTTAAATTTATTATTCTATCGAAAGATTCAGAAAGATATTGCACATTGTTATAAATTTCCTTACATTTTATTTGTCGCAAAACGAGTCTCCATTTCTCATTAATCTTTGCAGTATTTAATTTTGAAAATACATTTTCATGTTTTAATTTATTCTGTAACAATGTCATATTGAAAATATTGTAGCTAGGTCATAATATCGTTTTATTACCAAGTAATAATTTGTATATATAAATACTTTTATGCAAAAATTAAAACTAAAAGACATATTGATTTTATATAGTAAACTTGTTAAATTGAAAATAAAAAACGAATCAAATTGTAATTATACGTAATTCTTATTTAATTCTTAATTAAATTCTTTTCAGTTTAGTTTATTTGTTTATATGTTTCATAAGTGTGAAAAATCATAGTGTATTCATGTGCTTAATACTTTAATATAAGTTGCAATTAATTGTTGTTTACGCCTCTTAGCTTCAAGTTCAAATTCAGCACGATATTGCATATAACGTGCACGTTCTTCTTCAGTCATTCGAGTAAATTTACTATTTTTGCTACTCTTTCGTCGCTTTATCATTTTTGTATACTACTCTTTTCTTTCAATTCACGAAAACTGCTTGTTAATATAGTTGAATATTTCACTATATATGGTAACACGATTTTTAGAAACTGTTTGATTTAAAATATTCTGTATTTTTATAATTTTAATGAAAATATATATCATTTATAATAATCGCGATTCAAAAGTATGAAGTGAAAATCCTTTCTTTACTTGCACTGGTGTGTTTGATCAATAAGTACTACAATATAGATGGTTTTGCTATTTTAATGAGAGAATAAATAGCCACAACAAAACACCGTTTATTCGAAGATATCAATTTTAATATCATTATAATGTTAATTTTAAAACAATAGTTTTCCATATTAAGTAACCTTTTCTTGTTATTATTATTGTTTACTTAATGTAAAGACGTGAAAAAAGTTACGTGTCTTCGATAAGAATTGTTTTATGATATAAATATAAATAACAATTTAAAAGCTTAATAAAAGAATGCTGTAACATAGTTTTGTAAGTACATTATTATAAAGTTATAACAAAATTATAAATGACTAGTTTCTTGTTCGATCGAGTTACAGTAGAAATAAATAGATAAATTTTTTTTCTAAATTCCCAATTAATTTACAATCTGTTTTGTTCACAAAACAGTCGCTAAACTGTTTTATCGCTTTATTAATACTAACGTGAAGATATTTTTCCTTTGGATTGTATCTGAAATTTCATTGTATGTACAGTCTTGTTTTGGATCTATTCGTGTAATATTCTATTTTTTCTTTGACAAACTTGATTTCTAGATATTTCTGTAATTCCTCGATGCAAATATATTAGAGAGCATTGACAATTGCACATAACATTTTTTATTGCATTTTCTTAATGTGCCTACGAGGTGCCATTTCTACAACTGAATAACATAGGTTTATAGGCTGAACAATTGCTTAAACAGTTTATTTTCGGGAATCAACTGAAAGTGTTTATTTATCTATGAGCCAATGCTTTTGACCTTTTTTGTAGTTATTTATTTTACTTTGTTACTACGCTTACTCTTGGTATATTTTTGTTATTTAAAGTTATTACCAGTGGTATAAGCTTCCTCAGCCTGAATATAATACTATTGGATTTTTCTTCATCAATGTTTACTTTCCAGTTTTTAAAGTATTTTTGCGTCTTAGTCGTTAATTGCGATTAACAATTAGATTCCTTTTAATCATCAACTACGATTTAGGATTAAAATCGTACTTTAATCGTTAGTTGCTATTAATGATTAAGTATATTTTCATTTTAATCGCCATTTGAATAATCGATTAATGATTAACTACTAAAAGGATCTTATTAAAAATCATGTTTTCGCCCCACTTCAATTTTGTTAAAACTTTGCATATTCATAGACCTACATGTGGGTCATTGATTCTTAGCGTAATTTTCTTTTGAGCCCTAAGAGAGTGGAGGGGGAAGTGACCAAAGTACGCACTTGGCAAAATGCTTCGAAGGTTATAAGATTAGTCTTGACTGGAAATAGATATCGATTCGATTCTTGCGGTTAAAAATCATAAAAAATTGAAACTTTTGAACGATGTACAATATTTTATTTTTTTTATTTTTTTAAACTAATTTTTTCAAATTTTTATGGTTTCCGTGCTTATGAAAAGTTTGATAAAATTGCAATACTTAGAAAAAGTATCCACAGATTTTAGCAAAACACTTAGTATAAGAAGTTCATTTCATGCTCTTTAAACGGTATAAGCCGTATCTTGGAGAAAATTTTCGATTCAGCGTTATAACACAAAATTTAATTCAATGTCGACGCCTTACTTTTCCAGATATTTATAAAAATATGTCTGGGAATAGGGAGTTTTCGTACTTATTTACAAAAACACAAACAATAAAACCTTCATATGACCTTGATCTTATCATATATTGTTAAGGCCATTGTTCTGAACACCCAGGACTTTAAACTTTCTGCAAGTGACTGCAGTTTAGTCTTTTCCTAATTTTAGTTATTTCACTATAATTTTTGTTTGGAGGGCTCATTTTACCACTAAAAAGAGGAATCAGTCGAAAGAGGTCCAAAAACTTAAACATATACTGGCAATTTTCTGTGTTACACACATGTATTACCACAATTAGCAATTAAAAACAATCGTAACTGAATGTAGCTGCAATTAATTTGGACAATTAATATTTTCCAATTAGTTGATCAATAGGTATTAATTCATTGTTGTCAAACACTGGCTGAAGGTATGTGAACTTCACATCGTGAAGTAAAATTGTGATAACGTGAACTGAGACAAACATTAATAAAACGCCTTGAACTTGCGTATGAAAGTTGCGATAATTTCATTAATAGTTTGTGAGATGAATATATACATTATCTATTATTAATAAGGTTAATACAAATGTTATTTATATATTTTTGTTACATAGTATCATTTTGTTTACAAAAAAATTGGCATCAAGATGCAAATCTGTTACTTTGAACCGTAAGTTTTTATTTTTTTTATGTAATTTATGCCTCTATTGAATATTACTACATATTATAGGCAAGGGCGCATACAAAAGCATTTGGTTCCTGAACCAATGGACAAAATTCAAGTAAGTTTAATTATATTCATTAGTAACCGTATAAGATATATTTTTACACGCCTACATCTACCAAAGCAAGCTGTCCTCTTGTATGTATTCGTAATGATTTCTGCATTTGATGATAGAGCCATTACCTGTGCTATAATAACGCGATATAATATTATAATCGTGGTGCACGAAAAATGGTTTTTATAAAATAAGTTATATCTTCAAAACAATTTATTTGAAATAACTTTACTATGTATTTCCAATATGAATTCCTGTATATGTTTTCGGACATATTATTTGGAAATTGATGATCTTATTAATATTAATCTAAATAAATAATAACTCAATTAATCAGTACCAATAAGTAACACATTAGGACAAGTCTTTAAATCATTGAGGTTTTTATTTTATATATTTCCATGATTTTCCCTTAACCCTAGAACTCGCAGCCTCGACCTGTATATCTGTATCTGCAGAACCTGTGTATGTTGTTAGCGACCGTCGCTAACACGGTTTATGGCACGGACGTGCGTGAAAGGCTATTTTAGAGATTTAGGATTTTTAGGTTTTTAGTAAGCATGTGTTTTTAAAGTGTAATATACTTCCTGGCGAGAGAAGACGATTTATGAGTTAAAAACTGCGAGTTTTAGAAAGTCGCTTTTCTCGTCCCTCAATAGCCGTGGCCGTGCCATACACAGGGAAATTCCGAAGGGTAGTTGGACATGTGCATGTAACGGTAAAGATACCGAATTTCCACCAGCGTTGTCTTCACTCCCACACGAGCACCGCGGCACCTCTCCCCAAGTGAGCGCGCTAAGGACGCAAGGAAGAGTGTCTGCGTTAAGTTAGGTCCGCTGATCGGTGACTGCCAAAATGAGAAGAAACCAATCAGCGGACAATTTAGAAAATAGGGACTTGGCGATCAAGAGCGAAGATCGCAAAGGTCAGTCGTTCAACCACGAGCAGTTAGTTAGCAAATACCGGAACAAGATAGTATCTTAGACCATTAGCAATCTTAGTGCCCTTTAGAAACCTGAAGACAAGTCAAGGATCCTGTACGTTCAGATGTAAATAAACGTTGAGAAAAGGGGAAAAACAAGTGCAGTTTATTAAGTGAATGGTGAGCCAATTAAGTGAGCGGGTTAACCATTCTAGTCCTTCGAGAAGGTGATAACTGGAAACCAGGTCAGAGTGCATTTGGAGGTACTCGGAAATTATTTGAAACCAATAAAGAGGCGTCTATTTCTGAAGCAGCTTTCTCACGAACTTACGTTAGATGAACTTCAAAGACGAAGTGAAAAAACAATCGGCAATCAAAACTGAAACGATTTCGTAATTGTGAAAATGTAGAAGAAGATAAAGAGGAAACTTTGGAAACGCCTAGCAAGAAGAGGTGTATTACATGCACTACGGATAACGGACGACATCGCTTATCAAGATACGAGTGCAGCAAGTGTTTTTATTGTAATAAATGTTCAGAAATTGCTTTCGCCAATGTTGTAGAGCAAATGGAATAATAAACATGTTTTTATTTGAGTAAAAAGATTGTTTTTGTAAAAGTGGCCTATTACGCACAATGCCCCGATCCTGTTCTTACTCACATTGCGCCTGACCGAGGGTTAAACTCCTTCGCCGCCGAACATTCATAGAGTTATATATATCTTGCTCCACCAATAGCTCTTTCTTTCTTTTCACACGTATCTTTTTCCACTCGTACTTTGACCGTTGCATCTACAGCCAGAACTCACGTAGTCACGTATTGTCCACAGACGACAATTCTTCGCACATCCCATGAACTAAAGGGACAAGTGCGGCAAGAGGACACGGACTCTCGCAATGGACGTTGACGCCTCGGTTTCGGCCGCTTTTATTATTAGCTGATTCGCGTAAACGAAGATCGCAAATGAAACAGAATACTATAGACTGAGATAGAAATAAGAAGTTGACGCCCATATTCATTCTCCATCGTTGTTTCTCACTTTGTCGTTTTCTGTTTCATTTGCATTCTTCGTAATTACTCTTCGAGCACAGTTTGACAAAGTCGGAGAATGAGTACAATGAGAAGAAGCAAAATACATAGACACAGCCTTCTGAGAATGAAGGGTCAAGACGGTGGAACAAAGTGATACGTACGCGTCAAATACAAACATGCAATAAAGGAATTATTAATTTCATTAATTTCAATCTTATTTTCTCAAACGTGGTACTAGTGAATTGTTGAGTTTTTTGTGATTAAAGTAAGTCCAAACACGATGTAAATCGGACTAGTTTTACCGACTGAATGTAATTAACAAAAATAAAGGGTTCATTTCCTTAAAATCGATAAAACTAGTTCGATTTACATCATGTATGGAAGCAAGACCGAATGCGACGGAGTGGGATGTAACGATAGGGAACGGAGCCGGTGGCACTATGAAAATCTCTATCGTTACGTCACACTCCGTCGCATATCTTGCTTCCGTCCTGTGTTATTGCCGCGCGTCAATTATGACTATGTATGGAAAACCGAGGTGGTCAACTCTTTTTTTTTATGTTTCCTCAAGGTCACCTTGAATTTTTTGCAAATAAACATATAATTTTTTTACGCCTATCTGTGAGAATTTCAAGTCGAATTCGGTAAATATCGGAACAACTTTTTTTTTCATCTGGGTCGAGAAAAAATTAAAAAACTTTGTATTACAAGGAGTATCATATACTACGTCGTTGTACGCGTATACGCCCCACGTTTTACAATTGTATTGTTTTGTTTCTTGAGTATGCCTTACAGTGATTAAAATAATGCAAAAATCATAACTATCAAGAAAAGGGTGCATAGTTTAAGATGCACAACACAACAAAGCAATAAATTTATTTTTCTAGGAATTAGTTTAACAAATACCTGACTGAACATTAGTCTACCGAGCGAGCGACATAATATTTTTTTATGATGTTTATATTAGTTTAAAATAAAACATTTTAGTTGAAATATGTTTAATATTATATTTATGTGACAAGTTTGTAGGTAATCAGGAAGAGATAAATGTGGTTTATCCACACAACTATTACAGAATGTTGCAACTTTTACAAGTACAGTTTCTTTCTTATTTTTGTGGATTACTTTTATAAGGTTAATGTTACTGGTCTACGTTAAATTTGGGTTAGAATATTCTCCCATAACGAGCTAGGTTGGCCGAGCGGTCTAAGGCGCCAGATTTAAGTTCTGGTTCCCATCTGGGAGCGTGGGTTCGAACCCCACACTTAGCAAAATATTTTTGTAGGAAAGGGGGGACACGATGGTGTATTCATGTCCTGTGCGTTTCATTAAGCAAATTATTCATTGTGGATGGGGAATGAGAGGGAAGAGCGCATTGAATGTGGTTGTACTTTGTCATCTTTATTAATTGAGTTAAATGCATCAGCGACGTATGTGTTTGGCACATGCCTAAAATAATTGGCGTTGAAAGGCTGACTTGAAACGGATAAGGCAGAGTTTCCCATAAAGGGGCGGCTCATCCAATACATAATATCGAAATACATTCAGACACCGTGAGATTTTTTTGTTTCTCAATTAATTGACCAGTGGTTAAAAATTATTCAATGCTTATAACTTTTCAAGAAAGTATTTTCGGATATAAGTTTGTATGTTTAGTTATTAATCTTATTAATATGTAATACAAGTTTTGTCTCCACCTTTTAGGACCTATAAATTTGTAATTAGGAAAAAGGCATAGCTGAATGAAGAGGGGTAAGAGTGCCCCAAAACCAAATCAATCTTCGTACAAACCTTTTCTTACGAAGTTTTAAGCCCCTACCATTACTATTAGAGTAGTTACAGGGTGATGTGTAATACGCAGTTTATGTTTGATGTTTTGTTCTGTTTGATAAAAAATTATGAAAAAGATCATAATTATTCTAGGCGTGGTTGTGCATTTTTGGCAATTTTTTCAGAATTTTGGACTGCAAAAATTGATTTTTAAAAAATTCGAGGAAACTATAAATGCTGATTTTTGATTTAAATTATATATTATATTTTTCAAATTGGGGAACACAGCTAAAAGTATAACTTTTCCAGATTTTTTGGAAGAGTGTACTCCTCTTACATTTTAAAATATTGATTTTTTGGAGATATTTTCATTTAAATCTAATTCTTTTGTCAGGATTACTAACTGAAAATAGTTTTAAAGATAAAAAATATTTTTATGTCAAGGATAATTCTGCAAAAACTTTTCTTAATAAATTTCCACTGATCCAAAAATGTGGAATGATGTTATGGTTGTGGTGACATGATTTCTTTACACCTTGTATAAGCTTCCTCATAACCTTGAAATAAAAAAATATATGTTTCATTTACTACATAATATTCCTTTATTTTTTCTTTATTTATTTATAAGAATTCTTTTTATATAAGAAATTACATATGTTTTAGCTCAACCATGGTGCAGGTTGTAAATGTTGTTGCTGCTGTACTCCCAATAATTCACTCCTCGTAAGTGTTTTTATTAAATTTAAACAAATCGTATTTCACTTTATCATAAACACTATTTTACAGCTCTTGCTTCTCTTTCAGAAATATGTACAACCTGAAGTATCAAAATCTTTTGCACCAATTCGTGTAAGTAAGAATTATTCATTAATGAGAATGATTAATTATTTTCTTCTGGACATATCTATTATTTTTTACTATGTTTATACAATAATCTCTATGGAACTATAAAAATAAATCTCCACTCAAAAACAGAGGATTCTTTCTTTTACACTTTTCACTGTGTGATTTCAATTGAGACTGAATTTTCTTTATCATTAATACTTAATTATTGTAACAGAATCATTGTTGTATTACAATAAAATATAGGATAAATTGTTAGTACAACATATGCCTTGTTGCCACCATAGTGAGATTTTAAGCAGAAAAGTATCCAAAGCATTTGCGTTGAATGTTAACACGTTTCTACACAATATTCATTTTCAGATCATATGTAGATACTTCAAAGTTTCAAAATACTTTCGTGTCACTTATGGTATGTTATGAACTACATATATGGCATCATAATATTTTTCAAAAGTATCAATCGCTTGTGACTTACAGACTATAAGTGAATATTGTACTGACGGAGGGTTAATGAAAGTTTGCTTTGTACGCATTCATTTTAAAATTTAGGTCCCTGTAATGCATTTCTATCAGCTATAACTGAAGTAGACATGGTACTATTCTGCGCTGTTCTATATGTGTAGTGCGGAAACGATATGTTAACACATTGCGCGCCGGCCCCACGATAATGCGGGATTTTTAGTCTACCGTTTAACTCTTTGCACTCGGACGTTTTCCACTAGAAATATTTGAACATATTCTGGTGAGATAAAAACGATATTTTGTGAAACTAACCCAAAGAGAAATCACACGTACATTGAGGAAGAAAGCTATTTTATTTCAATATTTCACAAACTGATGCATTGTACAAGGTATAATATTAAATATCAAATTTTATAGTTTTACTGTATGAAGTCAAGTGGTGAGTGAGAGTCACCTCTCGAGTGCAGGGGGTTAATTGCTAGTCCTACATTAATGTAACATTTTAGATATGTATAACACAAATCCAAACTATAATGACAAAATCGAATTCCTTATTCTTTTTCGCAAGTTACAAATTTCGGTTTGATTGATATTTAAAAATATATTAATATAATCACCGACACTCCCGTTTCTAGTAGCTGAAATTTAGCTGGCCTTCAATGTGTTAACTAGTGAAATTATATAGGAAAAAGAGATATACTTAAGTACTTATCTCGTTCTGCTAGCTCCTAGTACTTATGGCGCATTCTTCTGCTTAGTCAACTTGTCACGATTATAGTATACGTTAGTTATGAATCATTCTTTTTGTTAGTAGTTACACAACTTTTACTGTATTAACTTTGTTCCCATTTGTTTATTTATAACACAATATTTATTACTCTGCTATGTTTGTTTTAAATAAAACTTATTTTTTTTAATACAAACATATAATTAGTATTACTGGAAATCAACTACACCTATGGATAATGATACGACGTACCGGCTGTCCTACTGGGAATGTCCAAAAACACCGATAGACCCTATTCGACCACAAAATAGTTTAACTACTGGTGATGGTGAAACATCGGATGAAACGACTTACAAGGTAAGTTTCTAAAAATCAAAGCTATATATGAACATTTTATAAACATTAGATATACAGCGATGCGCGCACAAAACTCAGGAAGCAGTAGTGAAATTTAAGCGGGCAGGGAACAGTTTTTTTTTTATAAAAAATGACTCAAGCACGTCTCGACGAAGTAAGAGAATAGATATAATGAGAGCAAGCGGGATGGTACAGTATACAATAAAACTTTTATTAATAATATAATGATAATTACAAAATAACGAAACACAGAATACCGAAAAACAGAAAAGACACTACTTTGCTTTAAGACGCCTGATAATATTATTACTGTTAACTCGCTAACTAACTCTGATCCGGCGACCTATATACATATATCGTTTATATACGGGTCATACACGTATACACTCTTTCACGTACATACTGAAGGGTTGTTACCCTTACTACCTTTTCTCTCTTTCAATTTTTAGGGTCATACTTTGCCTACTATTATTGTTTATCGGGCGCCGCTCGTTTACCGCAGACGAGCGGCTGGTGATCCGCTGTAAAAGCATACACGCTCTTTTTTTCACAGTATGGAACTACAAATGAATCTGCAATTTCACAGTTGATGATAAGATCAATGACTTTGTGTTATAATTAAAATTTCTGTTATTGCATTAGAAGACTGATTTATATGGTTATGAAACGTTTTCATGTAACTACTTCTTTTGCGTGATATTGCAGGCCAGTTACCTCGGTAATTGGTGCATACAGCCGGATCCTTCCATTATACCGTGTGAGAAAATGTGGCTGGGTAGAGGACCCATACAAAATATAACTACTCAGAAGCATGACTATTCATGGAAATGTATTGAACCAGACAAACCTATCAAACCTCAACCAAACTTGTACTCCTTCCCAGAACCATTATCTGGTAAGAATAAGCAGGGCCATATTACATTTTATTAACACAATGTATGCTGATTAGATATCAGCTACTGAAAGTCTGAGCAGCGGGATTATATTAATATATTTTTAAACATCTATCACACTGAAACTTTAACTTATTAAAAAGTATGAGGAATGCCATCTTAGAATTTTATTTTTGATTTGTAATATAAATATCTAAAATGTCGCAATCATGAAGGACCAGCGGTTATGCGATAAATTAAAAATCCCGGAATTATGCAGGACTGGCGTACAATGTGTTAAGACAATCAAAGGAAGTTGAAAATAAAAGTATTAAAATCTTTACGTTTTTGTTTGATGTTAAACAGCAGATAGGCATACATTGTATTATATACCAGGATGCAAATAATTTTTCATAAAGTTGTTTCGTACAGACTATTGCAAATTCATTCAGGTATGGAATTTCTTGAGTACTGCTTTTTATGAGTAACACCTTATACGGCAAAGTAATCCTGTAACATGTAATAAATTATTAACTAATGACCTAAACGATAACGATAATTACTTACATCCATATATATATATATATATTATTGTTACTGTTGTATTTTTATAATACGTTTTTTTCAACTAGATAATACAACATACAAAGAAAGTTATTATCAATCTGGATGCCACCTACCCGCTGTATCTTATACTCCAATAAGAAAGTATGTTAAATCAGATATTCCAATAGATGACTGTACCACTTATAAACTCAGTTATTGGCCAAATGAAGCCAGCACGAAGGTAAGCAAAAATATATTGTTTTTCAAATGTTTAATAATGTATATGGATAAAAACCATAGCCGAATAGGGAGGGGTAAAGGTACCCCCAAACTAAATCGATCTTCACTAGATAGATCTTTCGAAACCCCTTTTTACCAAGTCTTAGGCACCTACCCCTATTAGGATACTTACAGTGTGAAATATTATACACAATTTACGCTCGATATTTTGTTCTGTACGATAAAAATTATGAAAAAAATTACAGTTATTCTGGATGTTAATATACATTTCTGGAAATTTTTTTTAAATTTTAGACTGCAAAACCGATTTTTAAAAAATTCGAGAAAATGATGAATGCTGAAAAAGAAAAGAATATTGTAGTAAGATAGCCAATTATTGCTATTTTGTTTCTTCATTTCTAAGCGTAATACATTGAAAAGATAATTCTGCAGACGAAAAATATTTTGTGCTTTCTGTACTGGAAAAATTTTTCTTTTTGGTTGCATATGGTTCGCTACTATATTCGTTGCATTGCGAGGCATACGTACACAAACTGAGAAGCACATGTAATTAATTGCGTAGCATTTTATTGATATTGCTATTCCCATTGTTACTGAAAGTGATACTGTTATAGTTGTTGTTATAAAATATTCATTTAAATTATTATAATACTATAATTATATATTTTATAGGAACAAATATGGTCTTGCGAAAGAAAATACGTACCACCCGTGGAGCCTATGGATGTCTGTACAACTCATAAATTGAGCTTCTGGCCACATTCAGAGGAAAAACGTTCACCAATTATAATTAAAGAAACTGACAACTTGTTAAATGCAGGGTGTTGTTTTGATAATAATACCACATATCGGCTCAGTTATTTCGGTTCTGAAGGTGACAAGCAAATGCCACTTCGACAACCAGAAAACATTTTATTTTCATCGTGTCCTTTGACACACGACACGATTCACAGGGTAAGAGAAATATAATTATACAGTAATGCCCGCTTAAATTCCACTGCAGGGATCTGAAATTGTGCATTTCGCTCATTATATCGATTCTCAGCCTTTGTCAGGCTGTGCTGGAGTCAATTTCTGGAAGCAAATAGCTTCCTCCTGTTTTTTCTGCTCGCTTAAATTCCACTGCAGGGATCTGAAATTGTGGAATTTTTATTTCTTTATTTATCCCTTCGAATGCAGTAAATATTCATTTTTCGTAATAAAAAATGAATTTTATTTACAAATTACCTAGATGTTGCATATTAGGACCCGTTTTATCAATCTGGTGTTTTTGATTTTACTTACATTTTTTATCATAGTTTAACACCCTTTAATTTTACATTGTTAAGATTTTAGGTGTAATGGAACTTTTTCATCATAGAATTCTAGTTGTTGATTAAACGACCCAAATAAATTTTATTAAACCGTACCATAAAATATTTGTGTACACGAATAACTATATAATACATTTATTGCAGATGAGCTTTTTAGGAAACTGGTGTCCAAAACAAGAAACAATGATTACACCATGCAATAAACAAATGTTAGGTAAAGGACCAATGCAAGATGTAACCACCCAAAAACATGATTACACATGGAAGTGTACACCAACAGAATCAGAAACTCGTCCTGAAGATAACCTCGTTTGTCCAGCTTCGGATTTTGAGTGTACGTAACATTAGTGTTCATGTTTATTACTTTAATGTTGCGTGTATAAATAACGTATAACAGAAGTATGTATTTGGCCCATGAATTTGAAAGTAATGAGAATTGCTCCATAAGAATATATTTACTGAAGAAATTTATAAAGGAACGGTGTCTCTGACAAAGTACGATCCTTGTGATATCACACAACATGTCTAACGCTTTTGCTATTCTTCACAGCAATGTTTGAAGTCTTGTTATGTTATGTTGTTTAGTCCATCCATCACGACTTTGTTTTATTTTTAACTATTCTCTGCAACTGTTTGCATTGTATCTTATCTTTTTTTTCATTATTTTTTCCCTTTTTATGATGTGTTCCAATTGTGTATAGGACTGAGGTGATTTTTTCAGGTCATTTGAATTATTGTTTTCGCTTATTTTTACTAAGAATATTGGGAGATTTCGTCCGGTTTATATTTATATTTTTGTGGCGAATCTCTTTACTGAGATAAATTATAAGTTTCTTATCCTTTTTGCTTTAAGGTCTTCTAACACCTCTATTGGGTTGAATAAAACGATCACACCTTTTCTCCATTTCCCTGCAAGTTTGATTTTGAATGACCTTGAATCAAAAACGTATTCTATTTAAAAAAAGAAAGTTGACCTTGACCTTACCTTCAAGTGTCCACCAGGAAAAATAAAAGTTCCACCACATGATGTCTCCCTCGGTATTGAACAACTTCCGTCTGAAACATTTTTGCCCATAATCAATATTTTCGGAGATATTCGACAGTAACGGTTCATAATTTCCACCCTCTATATGTATGTTTAAATGTAAAAAAGTAAATAATAACAACACACAATTAAAAGCAATATATAAGTCTACAACTTACCGTGTAGACCAACGCACGACTCTCTCTGGGCACAGATTCTCTTTCCGACATTCGTACTCAAAAATCATTCTCTCACCCTTAATCATTGTTCTCACTCGCTCTTTCAACAAATTCTCAAACACACCCATTTAAAGCCGAACTGGGAACCTGGGACGTAGTGGAACTACAACGTTATGGTTGCCACATTCCCATAACCATTAAGTTTTGCTCTTTTATTATCCTTCGCTCAAACTCATTCTCGCATTCATGCTTCTTAAAAATATCCTAAATGCTACAAAAATTATAACTGAATAAACAATCCCCTTGAATTGTACATCCTAATAATACTTCGAGTCTATTTTATGAAATACATTAGTTATTTGATTTAGAGACGGACATTATTCTATCGACAGACAGTTTTCTTACAAAAACACCTGGTTATTTATTTACACTGAATTTTGTCCCAAAGTGAAATATCAATAAACCAAAGAAATTTTTTTCTAACTATTGGCTTGCGTGATAAATAGAAGTACATATGAATTTGTTATACAGTTCTATGTTAAACTAGTTACGCATAGTTAATGTATTAATTTAAATATATTAAGGACACTTTATACTAATCGTTAATTAAATAAGGAGTATGTGTGTACATAACAAAATATTAATTTAAATGATTTGAATTTTAATGATTAACATGTAAATATTTGTTTGTAAATTGCAGGTTCCACTACTCACAAACTCTCGTACATGTGTAATGATAAACAATTACTGTCACCTACAAATAATTATGCTCCTACACGAAAATATAGTAACCCAAGTATTCCAATGGATTCTGAAACTACCATGCAATTAAGTTATCAACCTGTAGATCTTGCAGATAAAGTTAATAAACCATGGAGTGAAATGCGTTCTTATTATCCACCCGTTATACCAATGGAAGGCAATACCACATATAATAACAGGTTTTCCTTAACATTATTTATTTCACTTTACAAATTATAGGCAGTTTAGTATCCGGGCTACAAATGTTTTGATTCAAATTTATCATTTTAGGGGTATTTCGTGTCATTGAATCCAAAAATTGCAGTGCTTTTTTACGAAAATGAGCACATTAAAAAGTAAAGAACAAAAATTAGTTTAGTGACCTTTTATTGAGAAA